CGAAAAGCCATGTATGTTAAAACTGTCGGAGGTGAGGGGGTGAGATCGAAGTGGAACGGAGAGCCCCCCTACCGGGAAATCGATTTCGGTTTCGTGTTCGTGCGTGCCGTGCGTGCGGGCGAGGCGAAGCTGCGTGGGCGGGTGAGAAGAAAGCCTCCTGTAGCTGAGGCGCGGCCAGACCAAATGATTCCAGACTGGCGTCCGGTGGCCCGCGGTGTCCCGCCGGTGTCCCGTCTCCGGCTGAAGCGCGGCACGACCAAATGATTCCGGACCGGCGTCCAGTGGCCCGCGGTGTCCCGCCTGTGTCCCGCCTCCGGCTAAGGCGCGGCCGGACCAAATGATTCTGGACCAGCGTCAGGTGGCCCGCGGTGTCCCGCCGGTGTCCCGCCGGTGTCCCGTCGGTGTCCCGATGATGATGATGATGATGATGATGATGATGATGATGATGATGATGATGATGATGATGACGATGATGTCGATGATGTTGAAGATGATGATGAGGATGATGATGATGATGATGGTGATGGTGATGTTGATGGTGATGGTGATGGTGGTGATGATGATGGCGTCCCGATGATGATGCTGACGACTGATGTTGATGATGATGATGATGATGGCGATGGTGGTGATGATGGTCTCCAGATGATGATGATGATGATGTTGCTGATGATGATGATGTCCCGATGATGATGATGATGTTGTTGATGATGATGAGATGATGATATGATGATGATGATGATGAGATGAAGATGATGATGATGGTGTCCCGATGATGATGATGAGGTTGATGATGATGCTGTTGAAGATGGTGATGATGATGATGGTGTCCCGATGATGATGATGATGATGATGATGTTGATGATGATGGTGTCCCGATGATGATGATGTTGATGATGAGGATGATGATGAGGTGATGATGATTTTGGTGGTGGTGGCCCGATGATGATGATGATGATGATGATGTTGATGATGATGGGTTCCCAATGATGATGATGATGATGTTGTTGATGATGGTGACGATGATGATGGTGTCCCGATGATGATGATGATGATGATGATTTTGATGATGATAATGGTGCTGTCCCGATGATGATGATGATGATGATGATGATGATGATGATGGTGGTGATGGTGTTGTTCATGATGAGGATGATGAAATGATGATGATGGTGGTGTTCCAATGATGAGGATGGTGTCCCAATGATGATGATGATGATGATGTTGATGATTATGGTGACGATGATGGTGTCCCGATGATGATGATGATGATGATGATGATGGTGATGACGATGATGATGATGATGATGATGGTGATGCGGTGATGATGATGACGGTGTCCCGATGATGATGGTGATGATGATGATGATGCTGATGTTGATGATGACGTTGATGACGATGATGTTGATGATGATTATGTTGATGATGATAATGACGATGATGGTGTCCCGATGATGATGATGATGTTGATGATGCGGATGATGATGTGATGATAAGTTTGATGATGGTGGCCCGATGACGACGTTGATGATGCTGATGTTGATGATGATGGTGTCCAAATGATGATGATGATGGTGATGATGATGATGGTGACGATGATGGTGCCCCGATGATAATCATGATGTTGATGATGATGATCTTGCTGATGATGCTGGTGCCCCGATGGCGATGACGATGTTGATGATGTTGCTCATGATGATGATGAAATGATGATGATGGTGATGATGATGGTGGTGTCCCGATGATGATGATGATGATGATGATGATGATGATGATGATGATGGTGATGATGATGATGATGATGGTGTCCCGATGATGGTGATGATGATGATGAGGATGATGGTGTCCCGATGATGCTGATGGTGATGATGACGTTGATGATGGTGATGCGGTGATGATGATGATGATGATGGTGTCCCGATGATGATGATGATGATGATGATGATGATGATGATGATGATGATGATGATGATGATGATGACGTTGATGACGATGAAGTTGATGATGATGATGATGATGACGTTGATTGTGAGATCGACTGTGATATCGATAGTGAGATCGATAGTGAGACGGAATGTGAGATCGATTTTGAGATAGATAGTGAGATCGATAGTGAGATCGATTGCGAGATCGATAGTCAGATCGATTGTGAGATCGATCGAATGAAATAGATCGGGTGAGATCGATTGTGAGAACGATCGAGCGAGACCGATAGTGAGATCGATAGTGATATCGATAGTGAGACCGATCGAGTGAGACGTTGGTTCCTCCTCCCCCCCCGAACCTCCTTATCACCCGAGGTACCTTGCCCCATAGGAACTCAATGATTTTGGCCTCCTGGTGGCCTCTTGGGACGCCTCTTGGGGGCCTGTTGGGGCTTCCAGGGAGGCTTTTGGGGCCTCCTGGGAGCGTCTTGGGGCGAAAGGCTAGACTTTTCGGTTCGTGGTCCCCCTCTTGGGGTCTTGGGGCCCTCTGGGGCCGTTTTGGGCGCCTCTTGGGCCGTCTGGGGGCCCTCTTGGGCCGCTTTGAGTCTCTTGGGAGCCTCTGGGGCCGTCTTGGGGCGGTCTTGGGGGCCTCTTAGGCCGTCGTCAACGCCGTGAAAGCCGAAAAGCCGCATACGCTAAAAATTCACGTTTTCCCAATGGAAATCAATGATTTGGGCCTCTAGGGGCCCTCTTGGGACGCCCCTTGGGTAGAACGTCATCACTCGTGCCTCGCTCTTTCCGTTCCACGGCCATCAGACTCTGGGCCCCCCCTGCCTACCCCTCCACACCCCCCCCTATTATTTCTCCCGACTAACGGATCGCGACGAAGCGCGCTTTCCATCACCTGCTTGGCATGGGGACGGAAAGTGCGGGTTCTTTCTGTGACGGCGTGAGGACGCTGGCTTAGTGTTTCCGAACCCGCTTGGTGATAAGATAAGGCTTCGGTACGGCAGAGAGAGCGGGCGGCAGACTCGATCGCCTTGGACATGTTGGAGGCCATCTTGACGCCATCCTGGGACATCTTAGGGCCTTTTTGGGCCGCTTTGGGGGGGCTATGTTGGGCCGTCTTGAGGCCTCCCGAGGGCGACCCCAAGACGATGTCGACCAGAGCGCACTTGTTTGAGGATGTCCCTAGCGAAATCGGTATTTGTGGGCCCCAGATACGGCCATTAGACTCTGGGCCCCCCCCTGCCTACCCCCCCACCCCCCGTTGTCACTTCTCCCAGCTAACGGATCGCGACGCAGCGCGCTTTCCGTCATCTGCCCAGGATGCCACCCCCCTCGAACTCCCTCTAGCTTCATTTCTTCCGACTAACGGATCGCACGCTACGCGCGAATTCCGTCATCCGGTATGTGCGCCCCTCGCTCCTCCCCTGGACCCCTGCCTAGAGGGCTTCGCCCCACCAAAACGTCATCATTTCGTACCTCGCTGTTTCCGTTACCTGCTTGGCACGGGGACGGAAAGCGCATTTACTTTCAGAGCGCGAGATGTCGCTGGCTTGCCCGTTCTTTCTATATGTCTCCCCGTCTGGAGGATCTCTCGGGGCATCTTGGTGGCTTACTGGGCGCCCTCTAGGGCTATCTAGAAGCCGCAGGAGGCCTCTTCAGAGGAACTAGGGCGTGTTGGTATCTTGGGAAGGCACTAGAGCGCGGTAAAACACGAATGAAGATTATGATAATACTGTTGATGCTGATGATGGCGACATACTGTCTCTT